GCCCCGGCTCACACGCGTCCCGGACGAACTACTATTCGCGAGTCAACCTATGATTAGCGAGCCCATGTTTATACGAAAATATCCCTATGATTTCCAAAATCTATGATTCCCGAGAACTACGATAAGCTCTTGAAAACAGTTCCAGTAGTGATAGTAAAGTGCATTATTCCCCAGTGAAACATCAGTACAGTGGACCCTCGCCTAACGATGGCATCGCATAACGTTAAATTCGCCTAGCGATACATTTTAACGCAAAAATATTGCCTCGCGTAGCGCTAAAAAACTCACTCAATGTGATTTGTCCGAGAGGCGTCCACATGCAGCTTGAGCCAGATTCACTTGTTCCGTGGGTGGCAGTGTTTACAAGCCAGCCTCCGCGGTCACATCCAAGCATACAATCGGAACATTTCGTATTATCACAATGTTTTTAGTGATTTCACCTGCAAAATAAGTGACCATGGGCCCCAAGAAAGCTTCTAGTGCCAACCCTACAGGAATAAGGGTGAGAATTACTATGGATATGAAGAAAGAGATCATTGCTAAGTATGAAAGTGGAGTGCGTGTCTCCGAGCTGGCCAGGTTGTATAGTAAACCCCAATCAACCATCGCTACTATTGTGTCCAAGAAAACGGCAATCAAGGAAGTTGTTCTTTCCAAAGGTGCAACTTTGTTATCGAAACAGAGATCACAAGTACTCGAAGACGTTGAGAAACTGTTATTGGTGTGGATAAACGAGAAACAGATAGCAGGAGATAGCATCTCTCAAGCGATCATATGTGAAAAGGCTAGGAAGTTGCATGAGGATTTAATTAGAAAAATGCCTGCAACTAGTGGTGATGTGAGTGAATTTAAGGCCAGCAAAGGTTGGTTTGAGAGATTTAAGAATTGTAGTGGCATACATAGTGTGATGAGGCATGGTGAGGCTGCCAGTTCGGACCACAAAGCAGCTGAAAAATATGTGCATGAATTCAAGGAGTACATAGAGGCTGAAGGATTGAAACTTGAACAAGTGTTTAATTGTGACGAAACAGGCCTGTTTTGGAAGAAAATGCCAAGCAGGACCTACATTACTGAGGAGGAAAAGGCAATGCCAGGACATAAGCCTATGAAAGACAGGCTTACTCTGTTGATGTGTGCCAATGCTAGTGGTGATTGCAAAGTGAAGCCTTTATTGGTGTATCACTCTGAAACTCCCAGAGCGTTCAGGCAAAAGAATATCCTCAAGGCTAATTTGTGTGTGCTGTGGAGGGCAAACAGTAAGGCATGGGTCACTAGGGACTTTTTCTATGACTGGTTACACCATGCATTTGCCCCCACTGTGAAAAATTACCTAATTGAAAATAAATTTGACCTTAAGTGCCTCCTGGTATTAGACAATGCTCCTGGTCATCCTTCATACGTGGCAGAGCGATTTTCTGCAGACGTGAGCTTCATTAAGATCAAGTTTTTGCCTCCTAGTACCACTCCTCACCTGCAGCCCATGGACCAGCAGGTCATTGCAAACTTCAAAAAACTGTACACAAAAGCTCTGTTTGAAAGGTGCTTTGTAGTGACCTCAGAAACTCAGTTGACTCTAAGAGAATTTTGGAGAGATCACTTTATTATCCTCAGTTGTGTAAACCTTATAGGCAAGGCTTGGGAGGGAGTGACTAAGAGGACCTTGAACTGTGCATGGAAGAAACTGTGGCCAGAATGTGTAGACAAAAGGGATTTTGAAGGATTTGAGGCTAACCCTGAGAAGCGTATGCCAGTTGAGGAATCCATTGTGGCATTGGGGAAGTCCTTGGGGTTGGAGGTTAGTGGGGAGGATGTGGAAGAGTTGGTGGAGGAGGACAATGAAGAACTAACCACTGATGAGCTGCTAGATCATCTTCAACAGCAAGAGGCCACACCTGAGGAAACTGCTTCGGAGGAGGGGAGAGAGAAATTGAAGAAGTTGCCTACTTCAAAGATTAAGGAAATGTGTGCAATGTGGCTTAAAGTGCAAACCTTTTTTGATGAAAATCACCCTGACACAGCTATTGCAAGCCGTGCTGGTGACTATTACACTGACAATGTTGTGAAACACTTCAGGAAAGTCGTAAAGGAACGAGAGGTACAGGCCTATATGGACAGATATGTTGTGTGACAGAAGTCCAGTGACTCTCAAGCTGGTCCTAGTGGCATTAAAAGAAGAAGGGAAGTAACCCTGGAAAAGGACTTGCTACCTCAAGTCCTAACGGAAGGGGATTCCCCTTCTAAACACTAAGACCATCCACACTCTCCCCTCCTCCCATCCCATCAATCATCACCAGATCTTCAATAAAGGTAAGTGTCATGTAACTGTGCATGTCTTCTTCAGTTTGTGTGTATTAAAATTAATATTTCATGTGGTAAAATTTTTTTTTTTCATACTTTGGGGTGTCAGGAACGGATTAATTTGATTTCCATTATTTCTTATGGGGAAAATTCATTCGCCTAACGATAATTTCGCCTAATGTTGAGCTCTTAGGAATGGATTAATATCGTTAGGCGAGGGTCCACTGTATATACGATGATATGTGCGCTCTGGTAGTGTGCCATATGCTATTCCAAGGGGAAGGAGTACATCTCAGAGTACATCCTGTGGCTGTACAACAGGAACAGACAGTGAAAATGACGATGATAGTGTTGCAATTGGGATGGAAAATGTGCATGGTGGTGGTAGTGGTGGTGACGGCTGTGAGGCACCAGCAGTGGGCCATGCTGCCACCCACGCTGCCACTCACGCCACTGCCTCAGCTGATCTACAACAAAGGCCACCATCCCCCACCCACCCACCACACCAGCCTCCACAACCACAACCTCCACAACCACCTGTCATTGTCCAGTACCCACCAGCAGACCGCACCTGGGATTGGCAGGAAGCTAGCAGTTTTGTTCCAAATGCCCACCAGTTTGATGACAGCCAAAGTGGAATACGGCCATCTTGTACACTTGGGAACAATGCCACTGAACTGGAATGTTTCGAGTTATTCTTTGACGAACCCCTGATTGAAAGTATTGTCATGGAAAGCAACGCATCCTACGAGTACACCATGGCAAACACAATACTTTCACCAAAATCACGTCTACACCAGTGGAAGGAGGCAACTGTGGCTGAGATGTATCTTTTCTTTGCCACAATAATGCTTATGCCACATGTGTATAAGCACAAAGTGAAATCATACTGGTCAACAGACCGCCTGATTGCAACCCCAGGTTTCAGTGATATAATGCCAGTGAATCGATTTGTGCTAATGTTACGTATGCTTCACTTCTCAGACAAAACCAGGCCTGACAGAAACGACAGGTTATATAAGATTAGGCATGTGTTTGTGTATCTGAAAGAGAAATTCAATATGTATTTTTATCCCTTCAGGAATCTTGTAATTGACGAGTCTCTGATTCTGTTCAAAGGAAGACTCTCTTTCAAGCAGTACATACATAAAGTTGTTTGTGCTTTGTGATTGTTACAGTGGCCTGGTATTGGATATTATTGTGTACACTGGAAGTCATACATTGCAAAATACCAGGAAGTTATTGGGCATCTCTGGTGATGTGGTTAGAACAATGATAGAACCATACCTTGATAAGGGGCATATATTATATACTGATAACTGGTACACAAGCCCCTCACTCAGTGATTTTTTGCGAGTGAACATGACAGGTGTGTGGCACAGTGCATGTAAATCGGAAACATATGCCCAGGTTTGACGCTGGCACTCGTAGAGGTGAGTTGCAGGCGTTTGCTGCCAATGACATCATGGCATTTCGGTGGCATGACAAACGAGATGTCACACTGTTGTCATCAGTTCACCCTAATGAAATGGCAGACACTGGCAGGCAGCATAGAGAAAGCAATGAACCCATTCTAAAACCTGCAGCTGTGATTGATTACACCTTCAATAAGTGTTCAGTGGACAAATGTGACATGCAGATGGGGTTTGCTGATTGTGTTCGCAAGAGTTATAAGTGGTACATAAAACTCTTTTTCCATCTTCTGGACATTTTCATGCTCAATGCTTATAATATGTATAAGATGAGGACCAGAAACAAACCACAATACGGCGAATTCTGTTTGTCTGTCATCAGACAAATAGTATTCAAGTACCAAGGGAGAACACCTGCAATAGACCGCCCACCAAATTATCAACAACTACCTTCTCGTCTGAAACATGGTGATCACTTCCTGGTAAAACTGCCTGCTACTGCTTTCAAGAAAAAGGCTCAGAAGAGGTGTTACATCTGTGCACATACAAAAAAACGCCCACAACAACGCAGAGACACTCGTTTTATGTGTGAGGAGTGTAAAACACCACTGTGCATGACACCATGTTTCAAAGACTTCCACAGGCTGCAGAACTTCTAGAAACATTCCCTGTGACTGTATATGTGTATATAAAATATAAAAAATAGTAATAAACAACATTTCATATCGTTTGTGTAAATATTTTTTATAAACAAAACAATGACAACAGTATTTATGCCCTTATTGTGTAGTATTGAAAAAGAACAAACTTACATAATACTGATCATATTGGTCTCACAGGCCATAAAAGTTACTTGGAAAAAGAAAAATTAAAATATAATAGAAATTAGTACATAAGAAAGTAAATAAAAGAATACCGGGAAACGGCAGTCGGCGATGTTGCCACATTGTCCCCCTTTTTCATCAACTTCATGCCTCCATATCTCTGTAAGTATTGATGGTAAAAATTTTTTGTTTAGCCTATAATATTTAGAAAAAAAAAATATTTTTTCATAATTTTTTTTTTTTTTTTTTAAATTTGGCCAACCCTGAGAACGAGTCTTTGAGAGGACCTGTCGACCCTCAAAGGGTTAATCAGGTCACTGTACATCCTTAATTGCAGTATTTCTGTTTTTGTAGCAGGTATTTTTCTGTGGTTTCTGAAATTGTAATTCAATTTTTTTTTTATAACTTTTTCCGTACACTTCGGTATAAACTTTAAACATTAAATAACTGCCATTCTTCTTTACAGACACAGTTTCCAAATTTTGTCTTCATTTTGACGGATGACCAAGATGTGGTTCTCAATGGTATGATTCCCATGAGCAATGTGATGAAACTCATTGGGAACCATGGGGTCACTCTATCTAATGCCTATGTTGCCAGTCCTCTCTGCTGCCCTAGCAGGTTAGCATACACCGAAACATCATTCACTAATTATCATACTTATTTCCAGATTTTTTACAGTACAGGAAACCCTCAATATAACGGAGTAATTGAGAGATTGTTCGAGTGTCTGTTAAATCAGGATAATGTTAAAAAATAGCTGAAAAAATTCCTTAGATAATGTATGCCTAAATAGTGTTGTACATGCAATTTACAGTTATATTGCAATAAACATTGAAATAAACCCTTTCACTGTTGAGACCACTGCTGACAAACTTGCTCTCAGTGTCGAAGTATTTTCACAAAAAAAAAAATATATTGTTTCTTATGAAATGATATAGAACCTTTTTCCAATGGTAATGACACCAAAAGTACGAAATTTCATGGAGAACTTAAGGAATTACGTTCTCGTGAAGTTAGCAGTCTTAGTGATATATACCCATTGGAGATTTTGACCACTTTGAGCCCTATTTTCAGCCATTTACATTGTTCCAGTCGACTAAACTCATAGCTATTTCGCTATAACTCCATTTGTTCTATCGATTGAGTACAAGAAACTGCCCATTTGCTGATTTCAACTACCCAATAAAGTGGTCACACAAATTTCATAAGATGCCAATTTCAAAATAGGGTCCAGAATAAACAATGTAGACGTTCCTGGCACTAAAATAACATTTTCTCTGTTAATTAGCCATGTCTCCAGGCCCCTCTTACATTACTCTTGCTTTCCATTTTGAATTTTTATTCACACGAAAAATAGAAGATTTACTTTTATGCAGACTACTGCCATTTTGTAATAATTGTATAAATAATGTCAACCCATTTGTGACTGCATATTAGATTGGCCAGTTGGACACGTATTGGACAATGACGTCATTTGTTTACTCTTGAACATCGTCAAAAATTGAACATTTCTGCTACTTTGAGCTCAATTTCAAGGTACTTTTTGTTGTGAAACCAATCAAAATCATCTCTATTTCTGTAATATATCTTCTATTCTATCAAATGAGACCAAGAAAACGAGAATACAACCATAAATACCGTGCGGAAAAACACCTCAAAGTCTATGTTTTAAACCAAAAACATTGAGTTTTTTTTTCTCATTATGCACTGCGTGCTGCAGGATTTTTTCATACTGTGCACACTGACCACACAGACCCATTCTCTCATATGTAGGTCTACCATCTTTCTCCCACTAGAATTGAAGCCGCTAGGATTTTGGCATATTAATATGGCACCAATGCTGGCTTGTAAGCATACTAGTATGACACCGCCAGTGAAAGGGTTAAAGGAGATAGTATTGCATTTTACATAACAGATTTTACTCATTATTTTAGATCCTTTATATTGAAGGTTTATTATATTTGAGAGTCATTTGTAAGTATGACTTTAGCACAGGAATTGCTGCATTTTCGTTACATTGTATAAAAATAACAACACTGCACTAGCCAAGGAGTTGTTATTGATCAATACCACTTGTTCTGTGGGTATAATAATAATCTTTCTTTCAACACACAGGCCGCATCCCACCAAGGCGGAGTGGCCCAAAAGGAAAAATGAAAGTTTCTCCTTTTACATTTGGTAATATAGTGGAACCTCAAAAATCGAACTTAATCCGTTCCAAGAGCTAGTTCTAAATTCGAAAAGTCTGAAATTTGAAGCAATATTTCCCATAAGAAATAATGGAAATACAATTAATCCATTCCAGAAACCCAAAAATACACAAAAAATACATTTTATGGAGATTAATTATAGTTTTACATACAACAAATACTATAGTTTTTAATTATGTAGTGTAATACATATAAAATAACATTTTTACTTACCTTTATTGAAGATTGGTGATGGCATCTGGAAGATAGGGAGGAGGAGAGAGGGAGTTCGGGTTAGTGTTTGGAAGGAGATTTCCCCTCCATGAGGGCTTCAGGTAAAGCCCTCTCTGGGGTTACTTCCCTTCTCTGTCTTTTAATGCCACTAGGACCAGCTTGAGAGTCACTGAACCCCTGTCTCACAAAATAACTGTCCACAGTCCTCTGTTTCTGGTGCCTCTTTAACATTTCCCTAAAATGGGACATGGTTCTGTCACTGAACTTGTTGCAAAGATGGTTTGTTTCACTTGTTCAGGTTTGAATTCTTCACTGTCTATGTACCCCTTAAACTCCTGTACAAACTTCTCAGCTGCCTGTTTGTCTGAACTGGCTGCCTCACCATGTCTTACAACATTGTGTATGCCACTACGCTTCTTAAATCTGTCAAACCAGCCTCTGCTGGCCTTAAATTCACTATCAGCACTGGTTCCAGGAGTTTTCTGTACCAGATTGGCATGCAGCTTCCTTGCCTTTTCGCAAATAATCGTCTCTGAAACACTATCACCTGCAATCTCTTTATCCTTGATCCACACCAGCAACAACTTCTCAACCTCTTCAACTATTTGTGGTCTTTTTTTGGTTAGCATATTAACACCTTTCGTAACATCAGCTTCCTTGATTGTTCTTTCTTTGCCAGGATAGAACCGATGGTCGACTTGTTTTTCCCGTACATCCTGGCAAGCTCAAGTCTTACACCACTCTCATACTTCTGTATTATTTCCTTCTTCACATCTATGGTGTTTCTCACTTTCTTTACCACAGGAGTACCGCTAGCAAGTTTCTTTGGGCCCATGGCAGCTTATTTCACAGTCCCACAAGCACTAAACACAACGAAATAATCATAAAATGTGTGAATGAGAGCACAGTTAGTGTTCACTCAAGCATAAACAAAGCTAGACTGCTCATGGCACCTGAGCGGGGACGAGGACAGAGCGGGCCTGTGGACATGTCCCGTACTCGGTGGTCCAAAAATAGGGGTGTGTTCGATAATAGGGACACAGTTTGTCTGAAAAAATGCTCCTATTTTCGAAATGTTCGATATGTGATACGTTCGATTTTTGAGGTTCCACTGTATATACAGGTCACTAGCCCCTTGCTCCTGGCATTTTAGTCACCTCTTAAAACACGCATGGCTTACGGAGGAAGAATTCTGTTCCACTTCCCCATGGAGGTAAGAGGAAACAAACAAGAACAAGAACTAGAAAGAAAATAGAAGAAAACCCAGAGGGGTGTGTATATATGTGCTTGCACATGTATGTGTAGGTAGTAGGTTGGTAGACAGCAACCACCCAGGGAGGTACTACCGTCCTGCCAAGTGAGTGTAAAACGAAAGCCTGTAATTGTTTTACATGATGGTGGGATTGCTGGTGTCTTTTGTCTGTCTCATAAATATGCAAGATTACAGGTATGTCTTGTTACTTCTACTTACACTTAGGTCACACTACACACACATGTACTCGTTTATTTATACACACTCATCTGAGTTTTCTTTGATTTTATTTTAGTAGTTCTTGGTCTTATTACTTTTCCTATTATATCCATGGGGAAGTGGAATAAGAATCTTTTCTCCGTAAGCCATGCGTGTTGTAAAAGTCAACTAAAATGCCGGGAACAATGAGCTAGTAACCCCTTTTCCTGTAGAGATTACTAAAACGAATAAGAAGAAGAAAATCGTTGAAGTGGGAAGTCTGAATGTGCGTGGATGTTGTGCAAATGATAAGAAAGAGATAATTGTGGATGTTATGAATGAGAAGAAGCTGGATGTCCTGGCTTCCACTGCCTCACCCACTGCCTCACCCACTGCCTCAACCGCTGCCTCAACCACTGCCTCTACCACTCCAGTCGCACTCAATCTACAAGCACCAAACACAATGAATTATTGTGAAATGTTTGGAAGAGCACGGAGACTAATGCTCACTCCAGCATAAACAAAGCCACACTGACCATGTGTCAACCTCTCCCTCGTATTTTTGTAAAATTTCCTTCTTCAATTCTATCGTATTTATCATTATTATTATTATTATTATTATTATTATTATTATTACTATTGTTATTATTAGCAGTAGCAGAAATGTTTGATTCTTTGCTGTGTACAAGAGTAAACACATGATGTCACCGTTCAATACCTGTCCGAATAGCCATTCCAATATGCAGTCATGAATGGGTTTACATTATTTATACTGTAGTTTAATAGCAAATAATGAACAAACAAAACACTCGCCACACAGTGGTGGGAGGGCTGGCTGCCAGTTGCGGGGGTTGGAGGGAGGGTAGTAGGGACTCACAGGTGGCAGGAAACTTAAATATGATTTGGCAGCTGGGAATTTGGCGGCTGGGAATTTGGCGGTTGAGAATTTGTGAATGTGTGAAGCCCGCGAAAGTTGAAAACGCGAATGTTGAGGGAGACCTGTAATATGGGTTTGAGTAGCTGTGATGCATTCGGTAGGTCATTGATGTAGGTGAGAAAGAGGAGTGGTCCCAGGACACTTCCCTGTGGGACTCCTACTGTGATTGGTTGTGTGGAAGAGTTTGCACCATTTGAGTACACGTATTGGCTTCTGTTACTAAGGTATGACTTTAGGTAGTTGAGGAAGTGGTCTCTTATACCATAGTGTGTTAATTTAGTGTGCAGCAATTCATGGTTGACTGTACCAAAAGCTTTATGTAAGTCAATTAAAATTCCCAGTGGGACTTCTTTCTTCTCTAGCATGTGTATAATAGCATCATTTGTGCTTTTATTATTCCTGAATCCAGAATGACAGGGGTTTAGTATGTTGTTTGAGACGAGGTAGGAATAGATCCGTCTATGAATTAATTTTTCAAAGATTTTAGAGAGTGGTGGTAAGTTAGATATTGGTCTATAGTTATTCAAGTCGGCTTGATCACCTCCTTTGTGGATTGGGGTAACCCTCGCTAATTTGAGAACTGCTAGGAAGGTGGAGGATTCGTTGGATTTTTTAACCCTTTGACTGTCGCAAGCCCCTTTCTGAAACTGTTATTCTATGTTGCAAAATTTTTTGGGAAAAAAAATTATTTTTTCTTTTGAAATAATAGAGAATCTTTTCCCGATGGTAATGACACCAAAAGTACGAAATTTGGTCGAAAACTCACGGAATTACTCTCCCGCGAAGTTAGCAGTCTTGGCATCATATA